TTTATTTTAGTGCTTGAACTTTAAATGAAAAATATTCTAAAAAATTTTTTTTTTTTTTTTTTTTTTTTTTTTTTTTTTTACAATTTATATTTTAAATTGTGACTGTATATATCTAAAAAAAGGACTACAAAATGAGCTTTCAAAATTGAAATTTGAGTTTCTTCCTGACATTTTTACTGTGATTATAGTAAAAATATATATATATATTTTTTTTACCGATTATATTTAAAATTGGGTGTGTATATATCTGTAAAAAAAACTACAAAATGAGCTTTCCGAATTGAAATTTGAGTTTCTTCCTAACATTTTTACTGCGATTGTAGTGTAAAAATTATTTTTTAAATATTATAAATGATATTGTAAATGAATTTTCTCACAATTTATATTTAAAAATACTTCAGTTTTTACTTAAAAAAAACATTTTTCATTTTTTTTCATTTTATATATTTTTTACAATTTATAATATTTTTAATTATGTGTGTTTTATAATATTTTAAATTATGTGTGTGGGTGTTTGTGCATGTATGTATATATGTATATTTTTAAATAATAGTTTCAATTTTTGCTTTTATTTCTTTATTTTAAAATACTGCCTCTGCAATCTGCTGGACAGAAGGACGCAAAATGTTTGCAGTAACAGTTTGTTTCCTGGGATTGCTCCATATGAGCGCTGCCTGCAGCTTGGTGAGTTTGATTTTAATAAATTTTTATTTCTGATACTTATAACAGATTTTTTGCTATGAGTAACTCCCATTTGAACACATTTGACTAAATTTCAGTTTCTAATGATTTAAAAAATCACGAACATTTATTATAGATGTGGTTTTGTTATCAGCAAGCAATAATAATCATCTTTCATATTTGTCTCTTTTCATGTTATGGGATTTCCAGCCAGGTAAGCATATATTACCATATTGCCTATTATAAATCTGGTTAATATGCAAAAATATGCATCATCTGAAAATACTTCATACTGATTGTTTTGCTTTTTACTCTCACAGGCGTCTGTACAGACCTGACTTCTGTTCAGCAGGAGATCGTGGATGTACACAACGCCTACCGAAGGGCTGTGGAGCCGACTGCCGGCAACATGCTGAAAATGGTAAATCATACTTTTGCATTTTAAACATGCATCATACATCATGCATACAAATGACAACATGTTTTGTGTCATTTGTAGAGTTGGAGCGATGCAGTGGCACAGTCAGCTCAAGGCTGGATTGATCAGTGTAACATGACACATGGACCACCGAGCAGCCGCTTGATTGACGGTATGTTACCCACAATTACAGTCAGTACATTTATTTGTAGCGCACTTTTCATAGTACATTCTGTTCTGAGAGGCTTCAAAAACAATATATGTTCATAAAACCCTCAAACAGCAAGCCAAAGATGAGATCAAACCCTGAAATATTTAAGTTCTTCAATATTTAAATACTTTAATATTTAGAATTTTTAATGCAAAGATAGCTTTTATGTATGTGTGTGTGTTTTTGTGTTTTACATTGTACATTGAAAGTTAAACAGTTGTTTTTAAACCTGTAAATAAGCAGAAATACCTGAATAAATATTCTACACCATTTCTAGGTCACTAATCTAATGGGAGCCCATTTCTGCCAAAAAAATAAATAAAACATTTAAAAGGTAATTGATTAAGACTTTATCTTAAAATTCAGATTTGTTTGCCTGCAATTCTTAAATTATATCTCACAATACTGACTTTTTCTTGCAATTCTGAGAAAAAAGGTCAGAATTGTGAGATAAAAAGCTGCAATTACCTTTTTTAATTTTTTATTCAATGATGAAAAATAAATAAATATATATATAGACAAAAAAAAAACTGTGAGATTTAAAGTCAGCATTATGAAAAAAAAAATTAGAAGAATTGTGGGCAAAATTGTCAGAATTCTGAGATTTTATCTCAAAAGTCTTAACTTTTTTCTCAGAATTTTAAATCTCAAAAGATTAAAAAGTCGCAAATTACCATTTTAATTATTTTTTTAATCAAGTTATCACAATTAATGAAACATTTGGGAGGAACCACATCTCAGCTGGGGAATACAATCTCCTTCGGCTGTTACATATTTAACCAAACTGGTGTTTTGATGATTTTTAATAACTGTAGGATCATCACAAACAATACTGTACTTCCTTGATCTTCAACACTAGATCTATTGTTTTATCATTTCTTACTGCACAAACTTCTTTTAACAAAATATTTGACTTGAAAAGTATCTGTGTACTATATCTCTTTGTAAATAAATATCACTTGCTTCAATATTTTGACAGTCATACATTTTCAAAAAAAAATGTGGCTTAACTGTCCAAATATATGTTGAGGTCACGGTATATGCAACCAAAGCAATTTAGACCTGAGAAAACAGAAGATTTCTTTCATCAACCCACATACCTATAGACCTAATATTTATACAGGAGGATTGTGCAAGTGAGTGTTGACATGCTGACTAGTCCATACAGATGAAGGAAGAAATGACAGTGTGTGTCACAGTCACATGCAGTGCATTCAAGATGAGTGATTCTCAGTGGGTTTCACTTCACGATTTGACACTGGACGAACCATTACACCACCAAAGTTTATTACTCTACATTGTAAGAAAAATTCATTGAAAAACAGAAAGGAACCATAAAGTTTGCAATGCATAATTCAAAATACAGGTAAAAACACTTTTGAAAATCAATACGGAAAATTCCTTTGTATTAAAGGGGTCATATGATGCGAGAGCTTTGTAAAAATCGACGCGTTTCAGAAAGGCGGGGCATAGAGGAAAAACAATAATGTACAGTATGTGGAAAATAATGTGTTTTTTGAACCTTAAACCACATAAACACATTGCATTACACCAAATACACAAAATAATGTTCTTTTTAGCACCATCATATGACCCCTTTAACACAGTACATCAGGTACTATTTTTTATAGGCTTTGGTGTACAAAATCGTTAAAATCGTACATACAAAAAAAATCATCATTGCAACCAGCCTGCAGCCCACCAGATGCAGTGCTGAAGTTTCTCTCATTGAATGTTTTCTCTCTAATGGACAGGATATGAAATGGGTGAAAATCTCTTCAAGGCCTCTGCGGTTTATTCATGGACTGATGTGATAAATGCCTGGCACAGTGAAGTCAACTATTATGAATATCCCATCGGATCCACCAACGATCAACCAATTGGACATTACACACAGGTGATTATTCAGTTGGATTTCTTCATTTTTAATTTTTTTTGTAAAAAGTCAGTAGCTTTTAGCTATAGCATGTGCTATGATTTGCTGCTTATTACTGCTTATAAAAAAAAACTATTACCTATAAAAAATAAATTCATCAGTACTTTTCATCCATTTTCCCAGGAAAGAATCATTAAATGTAAATGTATTTTGACAGCTTTTAGGAGCTCTTTAAAGGGATAGTTCACCCAAAAAATGAGAATTCTGTCATCATTTACTCACCCTCGTGTTGTTTCAAACCTGTAAGATTTGCTTTCTTCTGCTGAACACAAAAGAAGATATTTTGAAAAACGTTGGTAACCAAACAGTCGCTGCTAGCCATTGGCTTCCATAGTAGGGAAAAAATACCATGGAAATCAATGGCTACCAGCAACTGTTTGGTTTTTATTTCTGTGCCACTTATGCACCCACCCCCTTGTGAAAAAGAAGTACACTTTAACATACTTTTAAAAAGACGGCTACTTACTTATTACAAAAAAAAAAATACTTTAAAAGAATATACTTAAGTGCCAACTGAATGTAATGTTTTTGGACCCTTAATTGCATGTTATTTACAATTAACTGAAAATGTATTATAGTTCAATTCAGTCAGTCAGTTAACCCAAAGAGTGCTTTTTGGACCCACTGAAGTTGGACTCTTCATATATAATTTCATAATTCTATTGTCTTAGAAATATGATTAAAGTGTACTGCTGAATGTACTGACAAGCATTTATGGTAAACTAAAATATACATTAATGTAATAAAAATAATAATAATGAAACTTGTAGGTCATGCATTGAAATATATTTGCAATTACACATTTGTAATGATGAAGATGCAATTTAGTACATTTACTCTACTGTACTTTACGTGAGGTTTAGTATAGTGAACACATCAAAATAAGTATCTTTTTTTAAAGCATGACAAATGATTATTAAAACATGATTTAAAAGGTACTTTAAAGTATTATTTAAAAATTGACATGATTACAAAGTGTACTTTTTAAAAGTGCACTTAAGAAACAGTCATGAAAGTGTACTCTACTAAATGTTTTTTTAGTATTATTTCTTCTGCAAGTAGTTTTTTTGTTTTGTTTTGAAAATACACTTTTAAGATATGAAGATCACTACAAGTGCACATTCAAGCACACTTCTTTTCCAGCAGAAAAGCAATGCATTTGTTTGTAGTATCATTAAATGACTATAAGATGGAGGCGTCTCAAACTAAAGTAGTGCTTGTGTTTAGGTGGCGTGGTACAGCTCATATGAGGTTGGTTGTGCCGTGGCTCAGTGTGGAAGCTCCTACTTCTACGGATGCCATTACTACCGCGCGTATGTTCCTGTTCTCTATGATATTTTAAAGTTTTATACCCAAATTAAACACCGTTGCAATGCATTTGTTTGCAGTATCATTAAAGGGGTCATATGATGCGATTTCAATTTTTCCTTTCTCTTTGGAGTGTTACAAGCTCTTGGTGCATAAAGAAGATCTGTAAAGTTACTAAGACTAAAGTCTCAAATCCAAAGAGATATTCTTTATAAAAGTTAAGAGTCAGCCACGCCTACCTAAAACGGCTCGTTCTAACACGTGAAGCGGAGTCCAGCCCGGGGTCGCCATAAAGTAGTGTCTTGTGTTCATCCAGGTCCCTTCCTCCATTTCAGTGGGAATTTCAGAGGAGTCCCGCCGTACTCGCTGGGCGATCCGTGTGCTGCCTGTCCGGATGACTGTGAAGACGATCTGTGCAGTAAGTGTGTTCCGGTTTTTGGTTGCAAAATGATCCTAAACGATGACTTGATCACAGTTTGCATTGCTGAATGCATGTCTGAGAAGAGTTTATTGCTTCATTGACTTTCAACTCTCTCTTCTTCTTCTAGCTAATCCCTGTCCGTACATCAACACGTTCACCAATTGCGATGAATTGAAAGAAATGGCCACTTGTGACAACTCTGTCGTGAGCCAGTGGTGTCCAGCCAGTTGTCAATGTGAAGACAAAATCGTCCCTATTGCGAGGAAATGAAATCTTCTATGGCCATATCACATGCAGTACGGCCTTTTTTGGATAGTTGTAGCGCATCTTTCCTATAATGTGAAATATATATTCTAACTTCTTTCTATTTCTGTTCTTTCTATGTGGAATACCTCAAACATGCTGATTATTAAAAATCAAGGGTACTGTGCTTATATAATATGATGGAAAAGGCCAGTCTGCATTGTTTTGCATTATTACCTCAACTTTTTTTCAGTTAAGCTTATACAATCACATATAAGTAAAGCCATTTGTGTTTTATAAGCCTTGTAAACCCATATACGGAAAACAATAACTGGAGAAAGCACAACTTAAGACTGTGAAAACAGGATGCGTCTCAAATGACAGACTGCTGGCAGTAAAACGTTCGGTCACTATGTACTGTATAGTGTGCTGAAATGTTCTGAATCTTTTCTGCAACACTGCACCATAATCCTGCAGTTTATATAATCACATCACTTTATTAAAATCATTCAAATGATTTTACATCATGTCATTAGGCTTCACAGATCCATGTATGTCCATATTAAATCATTAAGCCACGAGAGGCTGTAGATTCAGTGTTTTCACTCCAGTTAAAGGGTGTTTTAAAGGGTTAGTTCACCCCAAAATGAAAATTCAGTCATTATTTACTCACCCTCATGTTGTTCCAAACCCGTAAGACCTTCGTTCATCTTCGGAACACGAATTAAGATGTTTTTGATGAAATGTGAGAGCTCTCAGACCCTGCATAGACAGCAACGCAACTGTAATGTTCCCAGATCCAGAAACGTAGTAAGGACATCGGTAAAACAGTTCATGTGACATCAGTGGCTCAAGGAGCACGCGCATGAACATAATCTGCGTAATCAGAGTTGTTTATGCTTAGGGGAAAGCGTGCGTATGTGTTGAGATACTCTAAAATGGCGGAAGACGTAACTCGGGGGAGAAGAATTGTTGAATAAATAATGTTATTTTTGTTTTCTTTGCGCTCATAAAGTATTCTCATAGCTTCGCAAAACTGAAGTTGAGCCACTGATGTCACATGGACTATTTTACTGATGTCCTTACTACGTTTCTGGACCTGGGAACATTACAGTTGCGTTGCTATATGCAGGGCCTGAGAGC